GAGATGGACCTTCATATGGTGTACAGTATCTCCTCCTCATTTGTTGGTCACATGACGTTATATTGGGGAATGGAGATGGACCTTCATATGGTGTACAGTATCTCCTCCTCATTTGTTGGTCACATGACGTTATATTGAGAAATGGAGATGGATCTTCATATGGTGTACAGTATCTCCTCCTCATTTGTTGGGGACATGACGTTATATTGAGGAATGGAGGTAAGGGGCCAAACACTGAACCTTGGGGGACACCACTAACAACTCCCGACCATTTAAAGTATCCCCAGTCTCTGAATTGGGTCTTTAATCCAGTTTTCTATCCAATTACAGACTGAATGTTCTATACCTACTGACCTTAACTTACACATGAGCCTCCTGTGGGTAAAGTCCAAGTATACGATATCCACAGCCATTCCTCTAATTTATTTCTCACTTCCTCATAAAAAGGAAGAAGATTTGTTGGACAACTTCTGTCCTTTGTGAATCCGTGCCGACTATCGCTGATCAAACTTTCAAGCATCTTCCCAACTATTGAAGTTAAGCTTACAGGTCTGTAATTACGTGAAGACTTTGATCCCTTTCTAAATACCGGCACCACATTGGCCTTGCACCAATCTGTCGGCACCCAGCCAGTCATTAGAGAGTCTCTAAAAGTTACATACAATGGCTTCCAAATTACAGAGCTCAATTCTTTGAGGACACGTGGGTGTAATAGAGCTCAATTCTTTGAGGACACGTGGGTGTAATACAGCTCAATTCTTTGAGGACACATGGGTGTAAGACACCCGGTCCGGGTACTTTGTTTGCTTTCATTTTGTTTAACTGTTTCTGGACCATATCAATAGTCAACCATTGCGGTTCATTAGAGGCTGTGGCGCCGCCATGTCCATTATGGACTTGAGTTCCACCATGTTCCTTGGGGTACACAGAGCTGAAGAAAGTATTTCATAGATTTGCCTTCTCTTTGTCCCCCGTTACCAACTCTGAGTTGTCTTGTGAGGGGCCGACATGCTCAGACCTGATCTTTTTACTATTAATATATTTACCAAATTTTGGGGGTTTGTCTTCTATGTATCATTTAGTCTCATCGTACCAGAGGACGTAAAGTGTGACAATGAGGCTTTCACACGCCGGCTCAATAGATCGGGAAGTGAGCGAACACATACCGTCGCTCCCTCACTTCTCGATCATCTCCCTGCCGGGTTTCCCCCCCACCTCCCCGCTCTGATCCTCCAGCGCTGACTGGAGGAACGGACGGGGGAGGGTACAGCTGGCTCTATCTCTAGATAGGCAGGGCCAGCTGTCAATCACGCAGCTGGGTGGATTTCGACAGCAATGTCGGGATCCGTCCCGGCTGC